ATATATATATATATACTTACTAATCTCTAAAGGTCAGTGTACGGTCATTCTTGTTGGGAATAATGGTCATGCACAACTCCTTGCCAGAGTCCAATTTAGAGGGATCAGTGAGAGATTCATAACGAATTTTGTCCAAAGCCTGGAAAGAAAATAAAATTGTAAAATTTTTATTTTGCAAATTTAATTGCATTAAATATGGCTTGCAGAACCGCGAGATGGCAATGCATTTATCTTAATAATTTCTCAAATTTTATTTATGTTCAAAACACGTGTCGGCAAGGCGAATCGTGTAAATTGAGCTAAATCGAGGGAAATCGAGGGAGAATCGAGGGAGAATCGTGGGAAATTTTTCGAAAAGAATGGTGATTAAAAATAACTTATAATTATTATTATCCTTTATCAATGGTAATAATAAGGAACGCGAGGTGAATAATTAAAATAGCGCACACGCGGCGACATGGGTCGACGGAAGAAAATTAATAATGGATAATAAAAATTACTCACGTCGGATGCGTTAGAAATCAATTCCCGAATGAAGACTTCCTTATTCGAGTAGAAGGTGTTGACGATAAGACTCATGAGCTGAGCAATTTCAGCTTGAAAGGCAAAGGTCTCGATTTCACCGCCTTTATCCATGGCGACATCCTCCGGCATCTTGAAATTCTTTAGCGAAAATCCTCGAAATCGAACAGAATAATCTGGGCTTATTCCCAACAGCTACACCACAAGACTTTTAATAACGCGTTAGAAGCTCGTAATAATAAGCAAACCTCGCCCAAATAAACTCTTATTTATAATCAAGAAACAAAAATCCAATATCGTATGTATGCGTTCGTGTGTGTGTGTGTGTATATATATATATATATAGTGCCGATGCGTCTCGCTCGCTGTCGACTTTCAAAATATTGAACCAATGCGCGCCCTCCCGGCTTTTATCGAGTACTCGCGATTCTAGAAAATTCCATCCGGATGTTCTGCTCACTTCTCGAACCTTCTATCAAATGAACGTCTTTTCCATTGGAAATCCCGGCCCTAATGCGCCTCATAACTCCCTCCGCAACTCCAAATATTCATTGGGCAAGCGTCGGCAATTCTACGTCTCGACTTATCGGTATCTTGGCGCTTTAAGTCGTCTGTCGGCGCCTCCCGTTTGGCCGCTCGCTTGACTAAGTTTGTCGCGGGCTGGCGGAAGTATGGCCGATCGACACAACCGTCTAGAAAGGTCTTGAGCGCGGCAGTTCTGTCGATGCCGGGTGGGGCGAAGGGGACGTGCAGGCCAAAGTCCGTAACAAAAAGCCTGGGAAGTTTCGAGAATTTCGTTAGACATTATTTTCGCGCTTTATTGGAGAATTTAATGGCTTTTTATTCGGGCGTTTTCATACATCGTTCTTTTCTTCTCCCGAGGACCACCAACAATTTATTGTTTATATGGCCGGGATTTTTTATTATTTTTAATTTATAATTTCCAATTGCTATGAAAGTTCGTGCTCGAGCACATTTTTTCTCTTTCAACTACTACTCCCGCGAGTATTTTCCTCTAGCCGTCTAGCATGGATATTAATAATATTAAGCTATTGAATAATTATTAATAACAAGTTGTAATTTGATTTCTTATTGTACATTCTTCGATAATTCTTAAGAATTTTTTATTTCATGGCTGAATTTATTCGTGTTGTTTGTGTTGCGAAGAAGTTTTATAAAGTCGTAATTTTTTTTTTCTTTCATTTTATTTCATTTTGACATTCTTTAATTTAAGACAATGCATTTATGGATTGTAGTATATATATATATATATATATATATATATATGGAGAGAGAGAGAGAGAGAGACACTCCTCCCTTATAATTATGTCCTTAATAACAATAATTAAAAAAAATAATTATTGGTCTCAAAAATTTTTAAAAAATTTTTTAGCCTTAAATGTAATTAAAAATATTTCTCAGAGTACGAAAATGATTTTTAATCTCAAATAGATTTTTTTTTTTCTTTATATATATATATATATATATATTCTTTGAAAATCCGTACACGTGCGTGCATTTTTCCGGGCCAAACGCGATACCTTCTAGAAAGAGCGAGAGAGAGAGAGAGAGAGAGAGAGAGAGAGAGAAATAAGAAAACTCTCTTCATTTGCAATTGCTAAAGTGAAAAATATTTGCCAAAATATTGGAATCAAATCTATAAATATTCGAGATGTTTTAAATGTCGTGTGACGAGGAGGACATTCGACTTTGCCTCAAATATGCACGTAAATCCACACACACACACACACACACACACACACACAAAAAAAAAGCTATCGCAATTGCAATATATAGGCAGAGTACACCGATCGATCAATTTCTTGTAATATGCCCTTTACCTTTACCAGGCATCAGTAGAGATAATTTACAATATCGTTATATGTTATTATGGTACTATATATACAAATTTATTAAATAATTTATGAATTATGAGGATGAGGTGTGCTTCGCCGTAAAATCTTAAATATTCAAATCTTTATAGTATCGAGCGTAAAATGAATATCAATGTAAATGAATAATCATGAGCAAATGTTGAGAATGACTCGAGCATTATTTCCCACGTCACTACGCATTTTCACCAATTTGCATTATTATATGCCATTGGATGTGGAAATATCAAAGATTATCCATATTTCGAACTAAAAATATCATGCCCTTTCTTACCAGCTGAGATTTATTTGCCAGCGCCCTTTAGCCCAAGTCACCCTTTATCGGGTCTGACGACATTCCGCTCCGCCGCTCTGCCGCTCGATCAAAGTTTCCTGATTTTCTACATTTTTTTGCCTATCGTTTGCCTTGCAATTTTATCTTTAAATAATACAAAAAAAACGTGAATTTAATAGTCTCTCGGTTAATGCATAAGGAATTAAATTAATTCTTTTTATATATATATATCGAGAAAGAGAGAGAGAGAGAGAGAGAGAGAGAGAGAGAGAGAGATAGAGAGAAATAGATTTTTTTTTTAATTTTGATAGGGGTGTTTAAATTGTATGTGTCGCTGTGTTGAAAATGCTGTTCGAGTTATTTTAACCGAATTCTTTTGGTGGATTATCGAAGGAAAAATTTTGAATAAATATGGCGGCAAAAGGATGGCAAATAACACGAAGGCAGATTATTTTGTTTATATATATATATATATATATACAGAAAAATTCGTACAGAAAAATGGACAAAATATTTAAAATAATTGCGTAACCAATAATTATAGTCTGAATTAAAATACATTATTATATACATACAGATGTATGTATATATTTATTTTTATTACGATTTAATCATTGCTATAAATTTTTACAGCCTCGTATATTTTCATCTATAATTATAATTAGTTTATATATTATAATTTGCCATTATAATTAAATTATAATGGCATATTATACGCCATTACGTGCTTTCCTATTTTACCGATAAAATTGATTTAACCTCAAAGTTTATCAAATTTTTTAAAAATTTTACACGTTCTATAATTTATAAATATGGAGTAAAAGACTTTTTCACTTGCATTCAATTACTTTATTACTTCAATTATTATTTAATATCAGCTTTATATATAAATTTTGAATATATATTTTGTATTAAAGTATATTGCAGTGCATTTGCCGGCAACACATATATAAAGTTTCTCATAATATTAATACTTTTTATTATTCCTTTTACAAAAAGAAACAATTCTTATTCTAAAAAATGTATTCGTACTTTTAGATTAATGATACTAACATCGAGATTTATTTTCACTTGTACAAAATGTTTATAAGTATTTCGCGACTCTTGATTCTCGTGGTTATAAAAATAAAGACGATTTCTATTCCTGACCCGAGAGAAGCAATTACGTGCTTATTATAATCCATCAATTTCTTGCGCTCAACTATGGATGTTTGTTTTCTACGATCCATGAATTCTCGATTCAGCTATTTTTAAGAATATTTCCTGCTTAAATTCCATCGTATAAATTAGCGTGGGTGTTTAGCATTTCTTTACCCACTGTCGGTACATTTAATTTAGAGTGCATGAGTACTCGATGTGTACAATAAATTTTCTATTTTCTACAATCAACAATAAACGTATCTGCCTTTTTTTTGTTTTTTAATATATTCAAAAATTTTTTTTTTTTTTTTTTTTTAATATATTCAAAACATATTAATTAATACCAATGACTAAATCGCTTTCAATATTTATTATTTAAAATGTAAGGAGATGCTTTTATAATCATTTTAGAAGCGAGATGAAACTTTTGCAAAAACATCTCTTTCAACATCGTGTATTTTGTGAATCTACAGGCCTATACAGACTGTAATTGTGAATATTTTTGAAATAAATATTTCAGAAAAAAAAAAGAAAAAGAAAAAAGAAATTTGTGCACACGCGCGCGTGCGTGGGGAGTTAGCGCGTGAGAATGCGCGCGAGTAGAGGTTGCGTATGTATGCGTAAAAATAGCTTTCGACAATTCTAGCGAATTTGATAAATTAGTAATGTATTAATTAAGCACTTAACTAATCTTATGCTTCATATGTTATATATCGAGTAAATATATATTTTATATATATTATGTTACGTAAACTTTAAAAATATAAGGAAATTAATGAAGAGTGTGCTTTAATCGTTGCGAAAATGAAAAGAAAATATTGAATATAAATCATCTACTGTTTACTTTTATCGAGTGGAATAGACACTCAAAGTGCCTCGATCGTGAAATCATTGAAATTGGTATGTTTATGCTTTTCATTTTTAAATTGTTAATCAAATGCTTTTGAAAAGAAATAGAGAGAGAGAGAGAGTAATATATTCAAAAATAACAAAAAACAAAAAAAAAAAAAAAAAAAAAAAAAAAAAAAAACAAAAAAAAAACAGAAAACAAAAAACAACAACAACAACAACAACAGAAAACAAAAACAACAACAAAAAAGAACATCGAGATTATAATAATAGATTAGCCGGCAAATCATTTGCTATTTTTTGGAAAAACTATTGGTGGAAGGTGAAAATAAATCATATTGCCATAATAATGATTCTTATAGATTAATTTTATTAATTCACTTATTTATATTTGCATATAATGTTTATATAAATTTATAAGTTATATCTAACCGTGTCGTATCTAAATTGTATTTCTCATTTGTTTACGAGTGTCATTTAGAATATTTTATTTCAATGAGCATGTGACTAGTGTGCAGCCGTTGCTCCTTTTCCCGTCTTTGACATATTCACTTTTCAAGATCGCAATTAATAATATCTCATCGTTTCAAGTTTATCTCTTGAATTTTGTCCCTTCAACTTGCCTACACTTTTTTCACGAGCTTACATATCCATTTAAATTTATCTCACTCACGACCTACATTTATCCCTTTGCCCACATAATTGCCTCATTTTGTATACACACATGCTCAAATGCACGCGCTCTCCCTTATTTTGCATTCCTTGCAAACGTTTTCACATTGTTAATATACCGTACATTTTACGTCCCACTTCTAATTTCTTACTTCTAGCCCAATCCCATTATTTTTGCTCTTTTTTTACTTTATTTCCCTTACAGCATTACCTAACTTCATTCTAACGTCACCCTTTCCTTTTTATAATCGCACATCTGATAAGAACGCTATGGGAAACCTCCAATCCGGATTTGTATATGTACATGGTGGCCGCAATTTACCTACTAATTTCTTTAGTATTTTTTTTTATTTTTTTATTATTTTTTTTGTTTTTTATCTTCTTCTTTATTTCTCCTCCTTACGTTCATAATTCTTTTCTCCCTCTTTATTCATTTT